GAGTCCCGCGCTGTAACTACGATATGGTGGTTTGTGCTTCCGAAGGTACCTCAGGAAGTAAGAGGCCCCGGTGGGTGTGTGTCTAGATTCTTCCCCAACCGCCAGTTTACATCGTATCCCTCCGAGGGAGACAGTGACGTGACCCCATCATGCAAGTGGCAACAACGTCTCTTGCTTAAGGTGTGAGGAGGGCTCGCCCCCGGGACGGAGGCCTCCTGACTCGCCGTCCGCCTCACCATCCTACACGTGTCTGGTTCTCTCACACACTTTTCTCTCCACAGACTTCCTCATCACACAAAGCCGCCGACAGGCGAACTTCCAAGAAGTTCAAGTATGACAAAGGTCATCTTGTGAAATCAGAATTACAGAAACGAGTTCCCAAGAGCGATAGTGCTGCTCTGCCCAAGATACCACCCGAGCGCCCCTGTGACAGTGACCCTCTGGGGTTTGCCGAAGACCCCACGGCGCCTCCAGGAAGGGGAGCTGGTGCCCCGACAGAGCCGGCGGCCACGGGCGGCCCCCTCGGGCATGGCACCGCTGTGGGCGACACTCGCCCCGCAGAGACTGAAGATGGCCCGTCCCCACCGGCACACGGGCCCCTCACGGGAGAGGACCCCCACGGCAGCCGCACCGCACGGGGCGGGGCGGCACTGCAGACAGATGACAGCGTCTTTCTGGACGAGGACAGCAACCAGCCGATGCCCGTGGGCCGGTTCTTCGGGAACGTGGAGCTCATGCAGGTAAGACTGGCACCTCCGTGGCTGCCCCCGCGCGGGGCACGCGCTTGGCCGGCTCTCTGCTCTCCCTGCACGTGGCACTGCCTCGGGGACAGGCTTCGGTCCCCACGAGCAGACAGACCAGTCACTAAGTGGGCGCACCCCTTCCCCATCCTCAGCGGCAGGTGGTTGCCAGGGCACAGCTGCTTCTGGGAGGCCTCCTTCCCGCTCGGCCCTCGGGGTGGGGGCAGGGGGCCTGGCAGGTGACTCTGGGCCTCCCCGCACGGTCACGGGTGGGGAGCAACTGCCCACACTTGTGGGGCGTCCTCTTCCGTTTAACCCTTGCGTCCCCCACGTCAGCCGGTGGGGGACGAGTCCTCGCCCAAGAGCCGACAGGTGCGGTGGGCTGGCGGTGGCTGAGGGAGTGTTTCCTTCCCCCAAGGACCTTCCCCCGGCGTCTTCGTCTTGTCCTTCAATGAGCAGACGAGAATTCAGGAAGATGCATTTCAGAGCCAAAGACGATGAAGAGGATGATGATGGTGTAGAAGTGTAGAGAATAAAACACGAATTTGACAGTCAGTAGTAGTCTGACAGTTGAGCAAGTTCTGGGATTCACACGACCTTATCTCCCAAGAAAACGTGTCCTTCACCACACGTTGAAGCTGACCCACAAACGCCCTAGTGCAGAACGCCAGATACCTGCAGCATGGACACGTGTGACCCAGAACGTTCTCCGAGATCGTGCGGTTTCTGATATCCGTGTGTGCGGACGATGGCTTGAGTCCCCTGAGGGGGCTGGGAGATCTTTCTAAAGAAAACTGCTCACTTAAGCTCTTTAGTTTTGATAACACATGCGTTTATTTTCCATTATCAAAATTTGATCATTCTCATGATTGAGTCAGTGCCAGTTCTTAAAGAACTCTCCTTCTATTTCTGTACATGAAGCTAATGTTTACCTTGGGAATTTTGCAAAACACATACGACTAAGAAATAAAATATATTTTGGAAGTATTTTTAAAGAGTCTCATGTTCCTAAAACTCCATGCTTGTCTACAATATTTGAGAGTCGAGTGGGGAAAACGAATCCTTTCCCACCTGTATTTGCTAAGGCTGGGTCAGCCTTCGTACCTGCTCCCTGGGTTGTGGGCAGAGGTGAGGCCCGAGAGTTGAGAGCTGAGGCTGTGCCCTTGAAGGGAGAGGGCCCCTCCGTGTAGACTGAGGGGTTCCTGAGATAGCGGCGCTCAGCACAGTCCTCGCCCCATGCGGTGTGGTTACAGAGCGGGTGGGCAGGTGAGGAACACCCACGAGGGATCCCCACGACTGACCGAGGGAGGCTGCCTGCGATTCAGGAAGACTGGGATTTTCTTGAGGAGCATCAGAGGCTGTTCTTCAGCTGCGGTCGTCCCCCTCGTCCGCGGGGTCGGAAGCAAATGTCCTCCCTGTGACGCAAGGTCAGAAGGTTGGAAGTAGCCCAACTCCGTGTCACCTGCCCGCATCATCAACCTCCTTCATCCCAGCACACGGGCATTTGTCATGAGGGCGGGACGGCACATTGTCATGACCACTCTCCTTTACTGTTGGTTCCTTCCTGTGCCCGATGCGAGGTTCAACTTTATCACAGGTGCGTGTACAGGAGAGAACTTGGCACGTAGCCGGTTCGGGACCACCTCTGCTTCAGGCTTCCACTGGGGGTCTTGGAAGGAACCCCCTGCCGATAAGCAGGGGCGGGGCACTCCAGTAACAGGAGCTCAGTCCTGACAGCAGCTACATTTAACCGTATTACAATGTCCTGTGAGGCACGGAAGGATCTCACGTGAAAGATCATTCGGGGCAGGTAGGTCGCTGAGTTGCCCTATAAGCTTTTCGAGCCCCTCCAACACCCACCCGAGACACTGCCCAATGTGACCATTAGCAGCTGTGACCACCGACTCTGGATAATTTTGTGGTTTATTGATCAACAAACTACTTAATAACTTGAAATTGTTGCTTATAAAGGCATTTTGACGGCAGCCAGGAAAAACAACTAACTAGTTGGGGTTACTGCAGAATTAACTAATGATCACAGCACCTGAGTTAGTGGTGAACGACTGCGTCAGATGCCAGGAGTCTCTGGCCTACGTACCGGCCTCTGGGAGAAGCATCGGCCTGACCTGCAGAAGAGCCTTGCTATCACGTTCCCACCAAAATGCAGAACGAAACCGAGCGTGCGCCTGGGGGCCCCACCCCTGCTCCCACTGCGTGGCCTCCTGGGGTGGCGAGCGGGCCAGAGACGGTTACTCCCAGGTGAGGGGTGCTGCAGGAAGCAAGCAGGTGTCCCCTGCAGAGACGGCACAGACAGCATGGAGCTGGGGAAACCGTGCTGTGCTCACGTGCTGCAGGACCAAGCGTTGGGCTGAGGCCCGTTGGGAATGACCTTAGCAGTACAAAAGGAATGCAGACTAAGCCCTGGGGACAAAATAAAGTTTCAGAAGGCATAGCGAAATACACGTTAGAATTACTTATGACCTAGCAGGCCCTGTGACAGTGTGAATTTTTAGGAAGCATCTCTACTTACTGGTCTTCACGAAGTGCTGCCCAAGTGGTTGGCTGAGCAGCAGAGGCGTTCCACGCGGTCTTAAACGCCCACTGCACAGGGACCCCCCACGGGCCTCAGGCTGGACGATCCCCACAACTGCTAGGACTCAGGAAAGGATATACTCCCAGTCCCCGTTTATCGCAGGAAGGACGCTTGGGGCAAAGTGCAGAGGCCTCGAGCTGGTGGAGGAGACCTGGCTTCCCTCTCCAGCCAGATGTGAGGCAGTGCATGTGAGGGCTGCCGACCCGGGAAGCTCACCCAGACCTTGGGGCCGCCCAGGGTCTTGTTGGAGTCACACGAGCTTGGAATGCCCACCCGAGGACCTCGGACTTGGACCCCAGCCCGGCCCAGGTCACTGGCTGGTGACAGACACCCCCCAGGGCGGGGTGTTCCTGGAGCCTCAGGCAGGCTGGAGACCGGCCTGTCCTGGCAATGGGCACTCGGGGCCCCTTCCTAAATTGCTTCAAGGGCTTCCTAGAGTGTTTGGGGTTGAAATGCCCCCTTTCCAGGCCTCGCCTCACCAGAGCCCTTGTGCCTTGCTCACACTGGTCCAAGGGCCTCCTCTGCGGACCCTTCACCTCGTCCCTCCCCCCCCAGCTCTGCACGCCGACTCCCTCCCTGGGCCTCCCTCGCTCTCCAGCCAGCTCCCTCTTAAAGGCTGACTGCCGGCCGCCTCCCTCCTGCAGGCCCTGGGTCTGGAGGTCCTCCCTCTGCAGACTTGCTGACCAAAGAGCCGGCCCACAGCAAGTGACGGGCCTGCCGGTACGAGGGACCTCCTGCCCGGACCACCCAGCATTCCTGCACCCACAGATCACCAGACTCAACACTCCCAGCCGCTACGTTTTAACTCCCTTCTTTTGTTGAAAACGGACAGCCTATGACCCCGTTTTGCAAAGAGGTCGCGCTGCTGCTGGGCTGGAGAAGGAGGGTCCACCGGGACAGCAGGGCGCGCTTCCCACGGGCCCCGACTCCCCCACGGTCTGGGCTTCCCCATCCAGCCAGGTAAACACCACGTGCTGAGGTGGCACTCGTACGGTTCCACACAGGATCAACTCGCTCTGAGATCTCGATTTCCGAAAATGGAATAATGATTTTGGCTCAGGTCACCATCTCACAGCTCGTGAGTGCAGGCCTTCAATCAGGCTCTGTGCTGACAGCACAGAGCCTGCCTGGGATTCTCTGTGTGCCTTTCACTCTCTCTCTGCCTCTCCCTTGCTCATGCTTGCTTGCTCATTCTCTCAGAAATAAATTAAAACCTTTGAAAAAAAAAATCACTAACCCCTATTTTTATCCTCATTTTCATCATTCCCAGTGAGTGCAAACTTTTTTGATAAGTCTTTTTCTGAAAAATCTTTATTGCTTTTTATGATTATACAATAAATGTAAAAATTCAAATATTAAAATCTGTGATTTTAAAAAATCAATGTTTAAAGGATCATGAAATAAGTGATCATTTCAAAAACTTCAAGTATTATAAAATACATGATTTAGGAAATTGGCTCTTTAAAATCCGGTACCCCCCACCCACCCACCGTCCTCCAGGACTACTGCTGTCCTGACGGTGTGTTTCCTGACTGTCTTGTACGTGCGTGTGACATACACTCGTGGGCTTTTATAAAACCAACAGATCGTCCTCTGCATGGTCAAGCCACTGGATGCTTTGTGCACTCGACAGCTTCCCTTTTCCGTATGAAACACACAGAGCTGCCACGTGGCTGTGCCTTAGGTCCACATGGAAGACGAACCCAGAAATTAATGGCCTCTGACAGCTTCTGAGCTACAAAGCCAGCGGTTTCCCGCGGTTCAGCACGATACCACAAGCGGGACTCACCTGTGGACAGGCATTCAGAGGGTTTCCCGCTTTCTGCCATCATAAACCATACAGCAGCGCGTGTCCCTGCGCATTCTTTACAAACATTTCACCCTGAATGGGTTGCCACTCTTTGGAGCATCCGGAAAAGTCCAGCAGATATAGCCTCACATCCGCCCGGGAGCAGAGACCCAGCAGAGAGCTGACACAGAATGCCCGCGCCTCGGACCAGCGCGGCCACGTCGGGCCTGACACTGCGTCTCTGCGGGGGCCGCCCAGCAGGGACGGAAGGGCTCCTGAGCCAACCGCGCGCCCCAGGGCACGGCTAGCCTGTCCGCTGGCACTCGGGCCGTCGGAGGTGCGAACACAGATTCGGAAGTGTAGCGAGGTCAGAACTTGTAGGAGGGCTCTGTGAAGTTTTTCCACAAACCACTGCAGCGGCAAAAGCGTAGTAACAGTGCCCAACGGGAGGACGTGCCCGCCGGGGGAGGAGGTGCCACACTTGGCCCATCACTGGCACTTGCGGGCCGGCTGCCGTCTCTTCGGCTTCGTCTGGGGTCTGTAGATCCTGCGTGGGTCACAGCGGAGCCCGTGGCTGGTTTTCTTATGGCAGGCGATGTGGACCAGCTTCAGGTTGTGTGCAGTGAAAAGCAGGCCGTAGAAGTACTCCCAGGACACCTCCCTGCCGGCCCGCTCCGCAACGGCGGCCTCCAGCGTGGGGATGACAGTGCGCCTCTTTTCTATTCTGCAGGGCAAGGCGAGACAGGGTCACGGTTGCTGCCGGCGTCCCACGGCCCCTACCGAGTAGCCTGCTATGGCAGCACGGGGACACGCTGGAGGGCTTCACCCGGTCACTGTGGCCCAAACGGGAGCTGACGTTTGGGGGCGTACAGGAGGACACGTGGCCAGAGGTTCAGGTATCAAAAGGAGCCGCACTTGGAAACACGCCCGAGGAGCAGTGGGGCAGTGACCCCTCCTCTGGCCGCGGCTGTCAGCAGGGGCAGCACTGGGGGGACGGTCCTCACCGCATGCGGCCCCAGGGCCAGCAGCTTGAATGTCTCACGGAGGAGGGCTGGCGGTGCGTGTTTGTAAGTACTGAGAAGTACACAGGGCAAGGGGGTGGAGCCCTATGCCACCCATCCCCACTGACACCCGTCTCCGTGGTGACACAGGAGCACCTCCCCTGCTGAACCGCAGAAGTAAAGCTGAGCCCCTATCCTCCCTGGGGAGAGTCTTAAGGGCCTGACGTCTGTCTTCCCAACCACGACCTTGTGCTTGTGTGTGTGTCCACTGGAGACAATCGCGATACTGCTTTGTGTAAACCTGTTCTGCTTACACACCATTCGAAGCCCGCGTACTGACAGGTAAAGCTTGCGAACTGAGCTTATAACACGAGGAATAGAAACAAGGCCAGGAGGGCCACTGCAGCATGCTGGGCCCACCTGTCCCTACAACACGGAGAAACACTGAAGAAAAGGGAAAAGAGGTACAAAGCTGAGCAGGTGAGGGCTCCCCACTGCCAGGAAGTCAAGTCCACACTTGATCCGCAGGGGCGAGCCACCCTCCTGCAGCCCACTGGGGCTCTGGTCCCGACAGAGGCCCAAGGGGAGGGCCAGGGAGGTGGGACCGAGACCCCAGTCCAGCCATTAAAGCGGAAGGGAAGCGGCAGGGGCGCCCGGGGCTCCGGGAGGGAGGGGAAGCCACCCTACCCTCTACCTACTGCTGCCTGCCCAGCCCCAGAAGAGGGGGGCGCCCGCTGACCCCGACCGCTCCTGTGGCTGCGCGACGCTGGAGGGCTGGCTGGGGGCGGCCTTGCTCCCCATGGCGCCTTTCACCCTCAAGGAGGCCAGGCCAGGGCCCTCCCCACTGACGCCAGCGCTCAAAGAGAAGGAGCCCCAGCGCGCAAGCACGTATCAGGCGTCCGCTGGCGTCCTGTGTGCTGGAGCCACATGGCCGAGCCTCGATCAGCAGCGGGAGGGGTGAGGACAACACACAAGGTAGAGGCCCCAGGAGGCATGATTCGGGCGCACCAACAGCGTGACCATTTCCACAGTCACCAGGAAACCCAGGACCCTCGGCTCACCGTTCACACAGACCCATAGTCCGACTGCACCTGCCACAGGGGACGGGACCCAAGGCAGAAATTAATACTCCACTGTTTCAGAGCCATGGGAAGCCCTGGCTTTCCGTGAGTGTCCGGCAGAAACAAATGCAAAACCACCCTGTGGGGACAGGACAAGCCAGTGCACAGAAAACACAGTCCCCACCGAGGGTGGACTCTGAATCCAGACGCACAGATTTCACAAGGAGCACGCCGCAAAGGTCGAGGACCCCGGCGGAGGACCTGGGCTAGAGCACTCTGAAACAGACCGCTGAGAGGCCTCGGAGGGCTCCCCGACACCACCCCCACAGCACAAGGGAGACAGGACGAGAAGGTCCAACGTGCGGCCAGCGGGAGCTCCAAAAAAGCCGGACAGAGAGAAGCCGAGAAGGGGTAACTAAAAAATACTTAGGTGTTTTCCAAAACGAAAGAGAAACTTGTCTTTGGAACAAAGACAAGCCCTGGTCAGAATTTAAGGATCTAAACCCACACACACGCCATGTTCAAAGAGAAAGGGGAAATCTGAAATGTCCGCAGAAACGGCAGAGAACAGGCTGTGGGCAGAATTCTCCCAAGCAGACGCCGGGAGAGTGTGAGCACGTCTTCAAAGTTCTGAAGGTGGGACACCCACCGCCCAGAATTCAGTATCGCTAAATGACCACGCAGGAGTAGAGGCCAGAGGGACATTTTCCAAGACCAAAGAACATTTAGTGCCCACAGGACCCTCCTGGGAGAAACGAGCCTGAAATAGGACAGAAAACCGGAAGTCAGACGTGTGCAGAGAAGCAGGCCGATTTGCCGGAAAACAGAAGTACTGTATTGAGACAGAGAAAATGCACCTGAAACCAGGGTGTCAGACAACCCTGCTCCAGCCTCTGCTGCTTCGTCTGCACTCTGCTCCAGGCTGGCCTGCTCCGCCCCTTGAGTGCTGGGACCGCCCCCAGATCGATGTCCCCACGCCCCAGCGGGGCACGGAAAGTAGCCGACAGATGACCTGGAGAACCCGGCAATCGTCTCTGGGTGCTCCGTGCACATCGAAGGGGTGAGACCCAGCACCCTGCCTAGAGGGGAGCGCAGCTCCTCAGCTCAGGCACCAGGACAGCCTCCTCACCTGAACGTGCACCCCAATCCCCAGCACCCGGGTAACGGTGCGCGGAGCCCGAGAATCTGCATTCCTGACCAGTCCCCACATGCTGAGGACGCTGCCGGTCCACGGGCCACACCCACATGGCCATGCAGGTCGGTCCCGCGTGCGCGCTCAACCCAGGGGGCTCTGTAATAGCGGAAGGTGGACGGCCAGAAGCGCCTACCGGGATGGAAATGGATATTCAAACGATACTGTCTTGAAAGAGCGAGGCACTCTGCACCTGCTGAAATGAGTGCACGAAACCCACAAACGCATCCCCGCGAGCACGACATAGGACGGAAAAGCCCGGTGTAGAGTCACCACGTGTGATACCACTTACGTCCGTTTTCAAATCATACCTACGGGGTAAAGGTCTATATAAACAGGCATCACAGGGACGCTCGCAAATGGCAGCAGAGCGGTTCCCCAGCGAGGACAGGGGTGCATCCAGGAGGGGTGGAAAGTGAGCCTCAGCTGTCCCTGTCATGTCCTACATATGTGCAAAGCCACCTGTCCCCAAAGTGATAGAGCCACTTGAAGGGCACTGGAAGACCTCTGTCTTCACAAAGCAGAGACAAGGACATCATTATGTTCCAGAAAAGAGTCTGTGAAGATAACACAATTTTACTTGTGCGCCTTTTTGAGAAAGAGCTCGTCCACGTGGAAGAACACTGCTGCCGGCCTCCACGCACCCCAGTGAAAGCAGGAAATGCCCCGCGCACAGTAACCACCCAGAGCCCCTGCTCTGAGCACCTCCTGCTTGGTTGGGGCAGGACACCCCCAGAGTGCGATGCGGTGAGAGCCACCCACTGGGCCCCACAGGTGGAGCCGGACGTGACCGAGGGGCCACGTACCAGGTCGCACGCACGTGGACAAGGACCTGGACCAGCTCCTGTCGGAGGCCCCCACCGTGGAGGGCACCTAATCAGGCAGGTTAGGAGTGGGCACCTGCACCCATCCCCACGCACACCCAGGACACCTTTGGGTCCACAACCCACAAGCTCGGCACATGAAACACGAGGCAGCCGGCAGGCAGGCCACGGACGCCACGGCAGGGACAGGCCCCCGCAGGTGCCCCGTGGGTCTGTGAGCTCAGTTCTCAACAACAAGCACTCCTGACCTCTGCGGAACCCGTACTCACATGTGGTCCAGGTTCCACGTACTGAAGAGGATCCGGCTCTCCCTGTTACCGTAGGGGTTGATGGAGTGTTTGGATGCACAGCTGTCCACGTCAAAGGGACCCTAGGCAACAGAGAGCAAGCTCAGGTCCTCGAAGGGCCTTACCCCGGGTCTCAGGCAAGCGGGAGGCGCTGACTGACGAGCCCCCGGTAGGGGACTTAGTCCTGGTAAACGGTGTGCTGCTTGGGGCAATCAGGAACCCTGTCTTTGGAACGGCGCCCCCTCTCCCTCGTTACCCCCAGTAAGATACTTGTTAGGAATGCCGGATTCCCAACCGAGCGCCTGCTGGGTCCCACACCCGCCTCCAGGGCCTGCTCCGTACCCTCAGTGGCACTAGAAAAGCCACCAGTGGGGACGGAGCATTTTGCTGGAAATGCATGGGGTCCAGGAGGCCGGGAAGGAAGCACGGGCAGTGAAACAGCCCCTGCCCGTCCTCGCAAAGGTCGCCGGCCCCAAGCCTCCAGACTGTGACCCTGTTCCCCAGAGGTGGTAGCACTTGTTGGGAAGCGGTATCTCTGTCATTTATCCGAGTGTCCAGGAGGAGGCCCAGGACACTGCTCCCAGCTGCTGCCACCACACCCCCCCAGGGAGTGGAGTCAGGCCACACTAATGCCCGAAGGGTCACATCTGGCCACCAGTCCTGAAATCTGAGCCGTCACCTAGACGGCTGCCCGGGGACACACCACGTTTCAGAAGCTCTGAAACCGTCCTCTCCTCTGCCCACCACCCTCCTCCCGAGGGGGCCAAGTGGTGCCCTCCGTCCCCAGTGCCCCGCGTACTTACTCCCTGCCACCGGCGTTTCTCGAAGGAGGGCCCCGGCCCGCGGCAGCAACACCGCCCGGGAAGTGGGCAGAAGACCTGTGAGGAGCAGCTGGGGGCCGGGAGGTGGGGGGTCTTTCCCGGCACCGTCCGGGGGTTCCAGGGCCACTGAAGCCAGAGAACCACGAGCTGAGCTGATGCCCGGAGGGCCGCCCCGGCCCCGGCCCCCGGCTCACCTGGCAGGAGAACCAGCCTTCGGGTGTGCAGAGCCGGCTGTCCGCCTCGGCTCCTCTGTCGAAGTAGCTGCTGTGGTACTGCTCCGCCCTGAGCTTCCGGCACATGAGGCCAACAATCCGGACGTACTCCTCCTGAGCCTCCGCGCCCACCATGGAGGCAGAAGCGCTCACCTTGAAGACGCCAAGGGACATCACTGAAGGCTGGCACGGTCGGGGGACTCCGAGTCCACTCGGTGCCACGGCCCTCGGGGACCCTGCCGCCTGGGGTCCCAGTGCGCTGAGTTCACACGGTCCCTGGCCGGCCAAGCCCGGCCAGCTTCTCTGGGCCCGTGACGTGCAGCCGGGGTCAGGGTCGGCCACGTAACAGACTCAAGCTCCGGGAGTCCTGGCCCCGTCTCCCTGGCGCTCGCCGCTGCCACGTGGGAAGAAACTGAAGAAGAGGCAGGCAGGCGAGGAACGTCACCCGCCCGCCACCCACGCTGCCCACTCAAGCTGGAGGGAGGCTCACAACAATGCAGCCAAATGCTGAGCACCCAGGGGGAGGCAGAGAAAGACCCCCCCCCTCCTCCCCACGGGGCTCCTGGTCGAGTGCGAGCAACAGGACAGCAGACACATTAACAGGGCACAGACCCCGGCAGGGTCTGTGTGGTGCCGAGGGGGTCACAGCCTGAGAGACAGGCCGGGGCGGCCAGGGCAGGAAGCACGCTCTCGGCAGCAGCAGGGGGCAGGCAAGGGTGGCCAGGTGGAGCGGAGGTGGAAGGACAGAGAAGGTGGGAGAGCCGGGCCAGACCACAGGGGCCTAAACACCGCGGTCCTGAGCTTTCCTTCTCAGTGGAGCACGGGCCGTGCATCGTCCTGCACCATAGACCCTGCGATCTACGGTCCAAGAAACGCGGGCAGGCATGGAGGGAGAGGGGGAGGGAGCGGGGCAGGAAGAACATCTGCAAAGTCAGGGGGCAAGACGGCCTCGGGACTGCCTTCCAAGCACACGAGCACAGGGGCAGCTCCCCCCCCAACACGCCTCTGCAGGGAGCACCCAATCTCACCCCTGCGTGGAGGGCCCGGCGCAGGGGTCACGGGATCTTGGCCTGGACTCCTGTCCACTCTGAGGAGCTGACCTCTTACATGTTTCATCCTTACAGAGGTCAGCGCC